TGAAGAAATCTGCAAATCACAATTGCAGTATAATAAGACATTTACTTGGAAGGGAACGCTGTTAAAATCAGGAGGCCTTCATTCTAAGTAACCGTACTTAAGACCAGATGGCGAAATACCTTTCCATTTATGTTGAATAAATCCAGATGTCCACTCCAGCACAAGAATGTGGGAGTCTGTCAATGCTCAAATTAAAAGGTCAAAAGACCTTGAAAAAATGCAGCAGCTTTTAGAGGCTACCAAGTACAGTATTTAATGGAATACATAAAATTATCGTTAAGAGTTGGAACTTCAGGATCATTTTGGCCCAGTGTTTACAAATTTGACAACTTTAAGAGAGGTGGACTTCAACTCCCAGAATTTCCCAGCTAGCATGATTACCTCAACAAACACAGTAGCTGGGGAATTTTGAGAGTTGATGTCCACGCTGGGAAATTCTGGGAGTTGAAGTCTGCCCCTCTTAAAGCATGCCGGCTGGGGGATTCTGGGAGTGGAAGTCCACCCATCATAAAGCATGCCGTCTGGGGAATTCTGGGAATGGAAGCCCACCCCTCTTAAAGCATGCCGTCTGGGGAATTATGGGAATGGAAGTCCACCCCTCTTAAAGCATGCTGGCTGGGGGATTCTGGGAGTGGAAGTCCACCCCTCTTAAAGCATGCTGGCTGGGGAATTCTGGGAGTGGAAGTCCACCCCTCTTAAAGCATGCCCGTTGGGGAATTCTGGGAGTGGAAGTCCACCCCTCTTAAAGCATGCTGGCTGGGGAATTCTGGGAGTGGAAGTCCACCCCTCTTAAAGCATGCCCGTTGGGGAATTCTGGGAGTGGAAGTCCACCCCTCTTAAAGCATGCTGGCTGGGGAATTCTGGGAGTGGAAGTCCACCCCTCTTAAAGCATGCCCGTTGGGGAATTCTGGGAGTGGAAGTCCACCCCTCTTAAAGCATGCTGGCTGGGGGATTCTGGGAGTGGAAGTCCACCCCTCTTAAAGCATGGTGGCTGGGGAATTCTGGGAATGGAAGTCCACCCCTCTTAAAGCATGCTGGCTGGGGGATTCTGGGAGTGGACGTCCACCCCTCTTAAAGCATGCCTGTTGGGGAATTATGGGAGTGGAAGTCCACCCCTCTTAAAGCATGCTGGCTGGGGGATTCTGGGAGTGGAAGTCCACCCCTCTGAAAGCATGGTGGCTGGGGAATTCTGGGAATGGAAGTCCACCCCTCTTAAAGCATGCTGGCTGGGGGATTCTGGGAGATGAAGTCCACCCATCTTAAAGCATGCTGGCTGGGGAATTCTGGGAGTGGACGTCCACCCCTCTTAAAGCATGCTGGCTGGAGGATTCTGGGAGTGGAAGTCCACCCCTCTGAAAGCATGGTGGCTGGGGAATTCTGGGAGTGGACGTCCACCCCTCTTAAAGCATGCCCGTTGGGGAATTCTGGGAGTGGAAGTCCACCCCTCTTAAAGCATGCTGGCTGGGGGATTCTGGGAGTGGAAGTCCACCCCTCTTAAAGCATGCCCGTTGGGGAATTCTGGGAGTGGAAGTCCACCCATCCTAAAACATGGTAAGAAATTCTGGGAAATGAAATCTACTTATCTTAAACTTGACATAAATAAGTTAATATTAGAATAAATACGAAACTCATCCCCGTCTGAGATGGGAGGTGCTACAATGGCTGTCCATTTCCTTAATCACAGTTTGAATTAAGCTCCAATTTACATAATATGTAGGGCCAAAGCATTGAATTCACACTTTGCCACAACACAAACATGCATTGCTTTTAAGAATTGTTAATTGGCAGATGCCTGACAATTACCCCACAAAAAGGTTAATTTAGAGATATTTTTTTTGCCATGGAACCCACTGTATGAAACCTCATTTCAACTGAGATTAGCTTAAAGTGAATAATGTGAATAATATAATAATGTGAATAATGTGAATGGTATAAGGTCAGCTATATGAACACTGGAGGACTCTCTTTATTCACATTATTATAAAGAAAGAAATGTGCTTGTTCAGAGATTACACTGTCAGCTAAATTCCATTCTTGGCAACATATCTTCTGAGGGGCCTATCTGTCAAAGATGCAAGGACCATGTATAATATATATCTTCTGAGGAAGATATCTGTCAAGGATGCAGAGACATCCATCTGAAACAAAAACTTACTTATTAATCCAAGGCCAGCCATGAATCTACGCATCAGCGGATACAGAACTAAGGAGGATGTTTAGGTAAAATTATCTCATGTACTATAAATTAAGGCAGGAATTTAGTAATTAAAAATCAATTATCATGTAACAGATGTTAACCATATATGGAAAACTGCTGTGCCAGCAAAGTCCTTTGTCTTGGATATGTATAAAAGCAGATGTATCAGAACTCTTCCTTTGTTCAGAATTGCAGATACAAATCTGGTTCTGAAACTGCGCAAATAAAACTGTCTCTGGCTGACCAAGGAATGTTGTTCAGTCTTCTCTTTCTACAAGCTGAGCTCCAACTCTACTGATTTTAACTTGGTTAAATAACCTGGCTTTGTGCCCAATGTTCAGAGGGTATGATAGAGTATGACCTGGATTTGTTGATGGTTATTTATGAAGCTCAACTGCAATCCATCAGAATAGAGCTGAAAGGAACCTTGGAGGTCCTTCTATTCCAGCCCTCTGCTCAAGCAGGAGACCCAACTCCCAAGGGATCCTAGCCACCCAGAGTCCCTTGGGAGTTGGGCAACATAGAAATTTGATAAAATTAAATTAAATTAAACTATACCATTTGAGACAAGTGGCTGTCCAGTCTCTTCTTAAAAACCTCTAGTGACGGAGCACCCACAATTTCTGAAGACAAGCTGGTTACGTTCTGTCAGGAAATTTCTCCTTAATTCCAGGTTGCTTCTCTCCTTGGTTAGTTTCCATCATTTGCTTCTTGTCTTGCCTTCTGGTGCTTTGGAAAATAAGTTGACCCACTCTTTTTGGGGCAGCCCGTCAAATACTGGAATACTGCTATCATGTCCCCTCTAGTCCTTCTTTCTTTAGACAGGCCAAACCCAAATCCTGGAACCATTCCATGTTTTAGTCTCCAGGCCTTTAATCAGGGTTAGAAGGGAGTAGGGCTGTGATGGCGAACAGGTGGTACGTGGAGCCATATCGGTGGGCACACGAGCATTGCCCTAGCTCAGCTCCAGTGCACATGCGCATGCCGGCCACCTGATTTTCAGAAGTTGGGAAACAGGCTGTTTCCAGCCTCCGGAGGGCCTCTGGAGGGGTGGAAAAGGCGGGTTTTGGCCTCCCCAGGCTCCTAGAAAGCCTCTGGAACCTGGGGAGAGCGAAAAACAGGTCTTCTGGTCCCACCAGAAGTCGGGAAATGAGCCGTTTCCAGCCTCCAGAGGGCTTCTGGGGGGTTGGGGAAGGCTGTTTTTGCCCTCCCCAGGCTCCTAGAACTTCTGGAGCCTGGGGAGGGCGAAAAACAGGCCTACCGGGCCCACTGTGCCATCGCATGCCAAAAGCGGGGGGAGTGCGGGTAGATCACGCGTGTATGCAGGGGGGGGGGCGGGGCGCATAAAATTATGGGTGTGGGCACGTGCGCGCGTGACCTCCACGCACTCCCCCCACTTTTGGCACGCGACAGCAGAAAGGTTAGCCATCTCTGGAGTAGAGTTTGTGGAGTTGAGGAATAAGAGGAGAAAGAAAGAACGACTGTGGGGTTTGCTTGCAGACATTTCATTACCCAACTAAATAACATCATCAAACAAATAATTCCCTCAACACTGTCAAACTATTTACTAAGTCTGCACTAGTATTAATCTTCTCATCGTTCCCACCACCCATCTCCTCCCACTTATGACTGTACAACTGTAACTTTGTTGCTGGTATCCTTACGATTTAAATTGATATTGTTCCTGATTGCTTATTTGTACCCTATGACTATCATTAAGTGTTGTACCTTATGATTCTTGATGAACGTATCTTTTAAGCACACTGAGAGCGTATGCACCAAAGACAAATTCCTTGTGTCTCCAATCACCCTTGGCCAATAAAAAATTCTATTCTATTCTATTCTATTCTATTCTATTCTATTCTATTCTATTCTCTATTCTATTCTATTCTTCTATTCATTCTACTCTACTCTACTCTACTCTACTCTACTCTATTCTAATTCTAATTATTCTAATTCTATTCCATTCCATTCCATCTATTCTATCAGCAAAAAAACCCAATAACTCCACAACTTTTATGTCCAGCAAATGCAATATTCCAGAATATATTGCTATTCGATTTAATAATTTATCTGGTTTTCTGGATTCCGCAACAACCTGAAATTAAGCAACAGTTTGCAAAGGCAAAGTTCACACTGTACGAGAGAGAGAGAGAGAAGTCCAGTGTATTTTAGTGTCTCTGAGGAGTTTTGCCATGTGTTTTTTTCTTCTGCGAATGAATTGGAAGGGAGCAAAATTGAGATAAAGGATGCTATGTTTGGGCTTTGCTGGTCCAGGAACTGAAGAATTGTACTGAAAGGTGGAACCAATCCAAAAGATAAGATAGGTTGGATGTTATTCTAGATTTGGCAACCTTTTGGTTTTGTAGGAAGTTAGCACCCACCCCTTTCCTGGAAGAGTGAAATATTTTAGGAAATATGAAAAAGGCAGAATATTATATTTCCCTGGGATAAGCATGTTTTGAAGCAGCTCCCATCTTCCTGCCCCCCACCCTTTGTCAATGGGCCATTAAGGCCTGGGCCAGTCTATTCTACATAACAAAGATCTGCCTCCTTCAGGCAGAGCCATAGTAGGAATTGCCAAAGATCCAACAAAGATAGGATTAGCCCTCTACACAATATCAGCAGAAACTCACCACATGTGACCTGGGAAGCACATGTGACCATCAGCCAGCAAGGCCCCCACCCCCTGGGAGTCTGACAAGCAATCAGGATACTCTTTCGGGGCCCCAAGAAATGCAGAGCCAGAGAGAGCATAAAAACCGGAGGATTTACTGTATCTGCCCCCTTTTTCTGTTTAGGAACTCAAGCCATGTGATCCTGACCACCATTAAACCATCTTTCCAAGCAGTCTCCATGTTTCCAGTGTCTGTTTCCCCACTTGGAGCAGAACCCAGAAGGATGTTTCTTCCAACAGTTTCCTGCAACGGTTTTACAAGCCATCTTGGAAATACCAAGAAAATACCATTTTCTCAAAGAATATGAGGCGGAACCATTCTTTGCGGTTCACGTTTCCATCCGGACTTTCTTTGTCCCTTCCGCTCTTTTTTTTCCCCCCACTTCTTTCCTGCGTTACAATGGCGACGAGCGCCCCGTTTCTTTTCCTTCTTGTCGTTCTTTTGCTATGGCTCCTTTCTCGTTGGTGGCTGCAGCGCTACCGCGGGCTGAGGAAGTGGCGGCGGCCGGACCACCGGACGCTTTTCTCAGACGGACCGGTAGCGTCAGCGACGCTGCGACGAGACGTCCAGGCCACCCGCGTCCTCTTCGTGACGGCGCACCCTGATGACGAAGCCATGTTCTTCGCCCCCACCATCCTCGCCTTGAAGTCGGCCAGCTTGTGGCTGCTCTGCGGCTCCACAGGTGAGGGGAGGGGGGAGGTAAAAAGAAGAGCGCTGCGGAGTTGCCTAGCAACCGCAGCCTCGGAACGTCCATTTTGCGCGCGGGGCTGAACAAGCTGAGGCCATTGCCGCACGTAAACGGAGTCGCTCTGACGTCATCTGACGTCGACCTTCCGAAGAGCTCCGCCCATCTCTAGCCTGTATTCCTCTTGGGCTAACAAAAGGTCCGCCATTGTGTGTGACGTCACTGAGCCTCAGTTTGCCCTGTCTACAAAATGGGCATAAGAACCAAGCAGAAGTTGGTTTATTGAGAGGCTTATGGCCTAAAAAGACATGATGCAAAAAAGGAGAGGAAAGAAAACAAAGGAAGGAAATAGAGAAAACTCTGCAATAAACAATTAATTTTTTTTCCAAATACAGTTGTTAAATGAGCAAAAGTCAATAATGCTAAGAGTAGGATTGGGGAGATGCAAGCCCCCCCTCACCTGTCTTAATATTTAATCTTGGAAAATTTGTTCTGAGTTAACACCTCCCATGAGACACTCTCAAACACCTTTTTCTGGGGATTGGAGAACAAAAATAAAATAAAATATATAAATGACTGATACATTATTTTCTTAACAACAATAAGAGGGCTTATTCTTAATGGAGGCTCCATCACTGGCGGTTTTCAATAAAAGTTTTGTAAACCATCAGTCCAGGATGATATAAGGAGTCCTGGGGAGCGGGTTAGACTAGAAGACCTCCAAGGTTCCCTTAAAGCCCTGTTGGATTCTATGCTTCTATGCTAGTCTTTCAGACCATCCTACCTGGCAGGGTTGTTGTCTGGGGAAAACTGAAGGAGGGAGGTCCAGATACATTGCCTTGTATTCCTCAAAGGCAGGATAGAAACCAAGGAGGCAAAAAAAATAAATCCACAAGGCGTTTTCTGTGCAGGAGTAGACACCGTTCAGGATGCTTACCAGTGTTGTTGGTATTGCTGTATTATTATTTATTGCTCTTACTGTACAGGTAATCCTCAATTTACAACCATTTGTTTAGTGACTGTTTGAAGTTAGAACAGCACTGAAAAAAAATGACGTAAGGGACTTGGAGCATCGCCATGGTCACATGACCTGTTCTGTCCCCGTCCCACACACGCACCCCCACGGACGGCCCAGAGTTAATAAGCCACACGACAAAATCTTTGAAGATAAAGCTGGCAGCAACTTAGTGGCTAGCTGCCAATTCAGACTTTACTCACACAAAACAAAGATTAGACTGCAAGCATTCCGATAAAGCAGGCAAAGTTTCAACAATACAAAGATTAGTCCAAATGCAGTCCGACAAGGCAGGCAGAAGTCCAGTAACGCAGAGATCATGGATTATTTCTAGTTTTTGCTCGTCACAAACTGAACCGGCCACCACACCCACATTTATACCCTGTGGGGTGTGGTCCAGTGACTCAGCTAATCTCTGGCACGCCTTCCCCTCTGCTGCGCACGATTCTCCCTGCGCCGCTGCCGAGGGTCCAGCCAGCACTTATCTTCTTCATCGCTGTCCACCTGTGGCTGTGGGGACGTGCTTGGCTCTGGGCCTATCTCTTGGCCTTCGGTGTCCTCCAGAGGCATTGCCAGAGAGGAGGGTCCTGGAGAGGGAGGCCTTGCCAACTCCTCTCCCTCACTCTCAGAGTCTGCATCTGTCGATAGCCCAGGCTCAGGCAACGGAGCCACAACATGACCAAAATTTAGAAGCTTGGCAACTGGCATGTACTTATGATGGTTGCAAATTGTCTCAGGGTCATGTGATTCTGCTTTGGCAACCTTCTGACAGGCAAATTACAATGGGATAGCCAGATTTGACTTAGCGACCAGGTCACTCGCTTACCAACTGCAAAATTCACTTAACAGCTGTGGCTAGAAAGGTCGTAAAATGGGACGAAGCTCACTTAACAACTGCCTCATTTAGCAATGCAAACTTTGGGTTCCACTGTGGTCGTAAGTCGAGGACTACCTGTATATTCGGTTGCTAAGAGTCAATGCTGACTTGTAGGGAATAATCAATCAATCAGTCCAAATCCATCAGACAAAGTGCATCTTTTGAACTCGTAGTCCTGTTGTTGTTGTCGTTATTATTCTCATTATCATCATTGCAGGTAGTCCTCCGATTACTGACACAATGGAGCCCAAAATTTATGTTGTGAAGTGAGACATTAGTTAACTGAGTTTTGCCCCATGTTACGACCTTTCTTGCCACTGTTGTTAAGTGAATCACTGCATTTGTTAAGTTAGTCACACGGTTGTTAAGTGAATCCGGCTTCCCCATTGACTTTGCTGGGTCATAAGGTCGCAAAAGGGGATTACGTGACCCCGGGGACACTGCAACCGTCATAAATATGAATCAGTTGCCAAGCATCTGAATTTCGATCACGTGCTGCAACGGTCGTAAGTGTGAAAAACGGTCGTGAGTCACTTTTTTTCAGTGCTGTTGTAACTTCAAATGGTCACTAAATGAACTGTTGTAAGTCAAGGACTGCCTTTAATTCTCTGCCGCTACCCTCAAAACGGCAACATGGGGAAAAGTACATTTTAAAACTTAGCCAGCAAAACAAAAATACATCGAGTTTTATACTTTTCCAGCAGAGATTCTGTTATGTGGACCCTTCCTTTTTTGAATTCTCAGTGACTTTAATTTTTTTTCCATGGACGGAGGAATGTATGCGCACGAAAAAAAATAGTAAATAAATGAATAAATGCCAAAATCGGGGCAAAAGAGATTACTTTTTATCTCTTTTAAACTCAGGAAGCTCAATCTGCCCAAGGAGCTGCTGATCCAGTTCTACAGAGGAATGATTGAGTCTGTCATCTCCATCTCCATAACTGTCTGGTTTGGTTCTGCAACCCAAATTAGAACTGCAGAAAAAATAGTTGCTACCAACCTGCCTTCCATGGAGGACCTGTATACTGCACGACTCAAAAAAAGGGCTGTGAAAATATCTACAGACTTCTCGCATCCTGGACATAAACTGTTTCAACTTCTACCCTCAAAACGACGCTATAGAGCACTGCACCCCAGAACAACTAGACACAAGGACAGTTTTTCCCCGAACGTCATCACTCTGCTAAACAAATAATTCCCTCAACACTATCAAACTATTTACTAAGTCTGCACTACTATTAATCTTCTCGTCGTTCCCACCACCCATCTCCTCCCACTTACGACTGTATTGTTGTGGATTTAATAAGACCAACACAGCTTTTCAGGGTTAGCCAGAGACATTGTATATTGCGCAATAGGTTCAAAGCTCTGTACGTGAAGCGTTGAACAAAGACAGAAATTAGGTACAATGGTTTTTATACTCTTCTAAGACAAAGGGTTCTGTTAACTCAGCAGTTTATGTGATCATATACATTTGTCATATTTAATTGACGCTTCCCAATTACCAAGTTTTACATTTTTCTTTGCCAACAGTCATAATTCTTTTTTGCCAATTACTGAAGCATAGATTCAAATTATCTCGTTGATATTACATGTGGTCATCCTTTGATCTCTTTAACCTTCAAACTGTATATCACCAAATGTTTGTATCTCTGACAACTGAGGGGCCCCTCTGTGAATGTTTCTACTTCAAAGGAATACTCTGCCTTTCATCTGGTTAATTGGCTTCCCTTAAAGAAGCACATTTCCTTTCTTACAATACTATGAATAAAGAGGGCCCTTCAGTGATCATCCAGCTGGACCCGCCGCATTTACCTACATTACTTTGGCTGTAACCTTGTTGCTGGTATCCTTACGATTTATATTGACTGTTTCCTAATATGATTTGATTGCTTATTTGTTCCCTATGACTATCATTAAGTGTTGTACCTTATGATTCTTGACGAACGTATCTTGTCTTTTATGTATACTGAGAGCGTATGCACCAAAGACAAATTCCTTGTGTGTCCAATCACCCTTGGCCAATAAAAAAATTATATTCTATTCTATTCTATCATTCACAGGGAATTACTATCAGCAGGGAGAGATTCGTAAAGCGGAACTGATAGAAAGCTGCAAAGTTCTGGGGATCCCTCCTTCCAATGTAACCATCCTGGACCACAGGTAAATTGCTAAAAAAACAAACAAACAAACAAAAAAGCCCTAGCATTGTTGGGTTATGCAAAAAGTCATAGGATCATAGAGCTGAAAGGGACCTAAAAGGTAATCAAGTCTGACCCTTCATCACTACACCCATCCCCGACAGATGACTGAGTGGCGTGGGAGGCTAATGCCTCCTACTAAGGCAGCATTTAACATCCAGCTGCCTGCAATTACTGCGAGTTCAATTCTCACCAGGCTCAAGGTCGACTCAGCCTTCCATCCTTTCTAAGGTGGGTAAAATGAGGACCCGGTTTGTGGGGGCAATAAGCCGGCTTTGTATAAAATATACAAAAGGATGAAGGCTATTGCTTAACGCATTGTAAGGCGCCCTGAGTCTCCGGAGAAGGGCGGCATATAAAATAAATAAATAAATAAATAAATAAATAAATAAAGAAAGAAAGAAAGAAAGAAAGAAAGAAAGAAAGAAAGAAAGAGAAAGAAATAAAATAAAATAAAATAAAATAAAATAAAATAAAATAAAATAAAATAATAATGACTATGGGAAGTCCTCGACTTACAACCACAATGGAGCCCAACGTTTCCACGGCAAAGCAAGACAGTCGTTCGGGGAGTTGTGCCCCGTTTTACGACCTTTCTTACCATGGTTATTAAGTGAATCCCTGCAGTGGTTAAATGAGTAACACGGATATTGAATGAATCTGGCTTCCCCCACGGACTTTGCTCGTGAGAAGTTCCCCAAAAGAGGATCACGTGATGCCAGGGACACTGCGACCGTCATAAATATGAGCCAGTTGCCAAGCGTCCCAGTTTTGATCACGTAACTGTAGTGATGCTACAAGTCATAAGGGTGGAAAACGGTCATAAGTCACTGTTTTGAGTGCCGTTGTAACTTCAAAGGGTCACTAAATGAACTATTGTAAGTAAAGGACTGTAAGTGTCCTCACTGTAGGAAGTTTCTCCTTAATTCCTGGTTGCTTCTCTCCTTGATTAGTTTCCATCCGTTGCTTCTTGTCCTGCCTTTTGATGCTTTGGAGAATAGCTTGACTCCCTCTTCTTTGGGGCAGCCCCTGAGATATTGGAAGACTGCTATCATGCCTCCCCCTAATCCTTCTCTTTGATAGGGTAGACATACCTAGCTCCTTTAACTATTCATCATACAATTTAGCCTCCAAACCCTTTATTTTAATAGAATAACAGATTGGAAGGGACCTTGGAGGTCATCTAGTCCAATCCCCTGCTTAGGCAGGAAACCCTACACCACTTCAGACAAATGGTTATCCAACATCTTCTTAAAAACTTCCAGTGTTGGAGCATTCACAACTTCTGGTTGCAAGTTGTTCCACTGGTTAATTGTTCTCACTGTTAGGAAATTTCTCCTTAGTTCCGAATTGCTTCTCTCCTTGATTAGTTTCCACCGTTGCTTCTTCTCCTGCCTTCGGTGGCTTTGGATAATAGCTTGAGCCAGGGGTGAAATCCAAATTTTTTCCCTACCGGTTCTGTGGGCGTGGCTTGGTGGGCGTGGCAGGGGAAGGATACTGCAAAATCCCCATTCCCTCCCCACTCCTGGGGGAAGGATATTGCAAAATCCCCATTCCCTCCCCACTCCTGGGGGAAGGATATTGCAAAATCTCCATTCCCACCCCACTCTGGGGCCAGCCAGTGGTGTTATTTGCTGGTTCTCCAAACTACTCAAAATTTCCGCTACCGGTTCTCCGGAACCTCTTAGAACCTGCTGGATTTCACCCCTGGCTTGAGCCCCTCTTCTTTGGGGCAGCCCCTCAAATATTGGGAGACTGGTATCATGTCGCCCCCTAGTCCTTCTTTTCATTAAACTAGACATACCCAGTTCCAGCTACCGTTCTTTTCTATATATAAATTTTACATTTCTTAGTGCTTAATAAACATTGTGGTGTCTGGGTATTTAATTTGCTTAACAGTACCAATTCCATTCTTATTCTCCACCCTTTTTTTCCAACCACTGGCAATAATGTGAATAAAGTAGGAATCATACAGGGCCAGTTACATGAACACTAAAAGACCCTCTCTATTCACATTATTATAAGGGAGAAATGTGCTTGTTTGGAGATTATATTAAAAATCAGTTAAATCCCATTATTGGTAATATATCTTCTGATGAGGCCTAGCTGTCACGGAAGGACAGCCATATGGAAAACATCTGAGTGGCCTCACTGTCAAAGACACAAGGACATGTAGGTTACAAAGAGTTACTTATTACCTAAGGACGGCAATAAATCTCCCGTATTAGTAATTACAGAACTAAGGAAGGTTGTCTAGCTAAAGATAATCTTATAAACTTGACAATAATGGTTTAGTAATTAGGAAGTGTCAATTATCATATAACAAGTGTATGTTAACCATAGATGGAAAAATGCATGTGCTCACCAAACCCTTTGTCTTGGAAATATATATAAGCAGTTGTATCGGAGCTTTCCGGGGTTCAGAATTTCAGGTAGAAATCTGGCTCTGAACCTGCGCAATAAACTGTATCTGGCTGACCCAGGAATGTTTTTCAGTCTTTCATTCCATAACAGCAAAATGACTTCCCTGTTTGATAATATTCTGTATCTTCTTTCTGTTTGATTTTCAACGTAAGTCTATCCATTTCTGCACAATCGAATATCTTCTTAGAGGAACCGTTTATTCCATCAGGTGGGCTTGGCCTAATCTCTTCCCTTTTTTAAATATGTAAATTTTAATCTGTTTTTAAATTATCGGGGTGTTTTAATCTATCTGGGCCAAAATGATTTAATCTGGTTTTTAAATTTTTTTGTATCTATGTATTTTATTGTTTGGCTGTTCACCGCCCTGAGTCCTTCGGGAGTAGGGCGGTATACAAATCAAATAAACTAAACTAAACTAAACTAAACTAAACTATGTTTCAGCCTCTGGACCCCTAATCATCTTTGTTGCTCTTCTATGCACACTTTCTACAAAACAGGAAGTGTGCTGGTGAATGTTTGCACCCGGCTGAACCCTGAAAATTTAAATTGCGGACTCGGTTCTGCTGGTCAGAGGCACTCATTGCCCTGCAAGATTAGGGTTCGTGTAGTGGAAGGGAAAAACTTCTTAGAATTTGAGAAATTTCTTGTGTACGAGTCCAGCTCTGGTTGAACATGAGTCAAGGACAGGCTTTTGAGTAAGTTGGTCACAAAATAGTTTATTTACCTCCTGTTCGAAGCTAGGATCTAGACCTGCGAGAGAGGTAGGATTGCCAATAGTGTAAAGCAGGGGTGAAATCAGGGGTGAAATGCTCCCGGTTCAGACCGGATCGCCCGATCCGGTAGCGATGGCGGCGGGTGGTTCGGAGAACCGGTAGCAAAAATCCCTCCCTCCCCCCATGCCCAGCTGAGCCGCGCAATCATCAGAGGCTGTTTTTTAATTTTTAAAAGCATATTTTCTACAACCTCTTCGGCTGAAAAAATGCTTTTAAAAGTAAAAAAAAAAAGCCTCTGATGATCGTGCGGCTCAGCTGGGATCGTCAGAGGCTTTTAAAAGCATTTTTTCTACAACTTCTTGGGCCCAGGAGGTTGTAGAAAAAATGCTTAAAAAAAAAAAATCCTCTGATAACCAGGCAACTCATCTGGGATCATCAGAGGCTTTTAAAAGCATTTTTTCTACAACCTCCTCGGCCCAGGAGGTTGTAGAAAAAATGCTTTTAAAAGAAAAAAGAGCCTCTGATGATCGTGCAGCTCAGCTGGGATCGTCAGAGGCTTTTAAAAGCATTTTATCTACAACTTCTTGGGCCGAGGAGAAAAATGCTTTTAAAAGCCTTTACTTACACATAACAATAATTTGTCTTCATCTAATTTCTACCTCTTATCTCTAACCATTGATAAAATCTATTCCACATTGAATAGTACTCTGTTATCTCCTTTATCTTTTATTTTCAATGTCAATCTATCCATCTCTGCACAGTCCAATATTTTCCAAATTATATTTTCATTCAGTGCGGTGTTCTCATTTTTCCAATATTGGACAAATACAATTCTCGCTGCTGTCAAGACATGTAGCGTTATTTATATAGTCCGCCTTTATCATAATTTTCTGGTATTATGCCTAACAAAAATATTTCTGGCTTTAAATCTATATGCTAAGGATTTATTATAAATTCCAGGGCACTGCTATGTTTAGAAAGATTCTTTTTCCAAGGTCAAATGGGGACTGGAGGTTAAAACATATGAAGAACGGTTGCAGGAACTGAGTATGTCTAGTTTAATAAAGAGAAGGACCAGGGGAGACATGATAGCAGTCTTCCAGTATCTCAGGGGCTGCCCCAAAGAAGAGGGAGTCAAGCTATTCTCCAAAGCACCTGAGGGCAGAACAAGAAGCAATGGGTGGAAACTAATCAAGGAGAGAAGCAATTTAGAACTAAGGAGGAATTTCCCGACAGTGAGGACAATTAACCAGTGGAACAGCCTGCCACCAGAAGTTGTGAATGCTCCAACTCCAAGTTTTTAAGAAGATGTTGGATAACCATTTGTCCAAAGTGGTGTAGGGTTTCCTGCCTAAGCAGGGGGCTGGACTAGAAGACCTCCAAGGTCCCTTCCAACTCTGTTCTTCTAAATTCTAAAAATGCTGCTTTTCTTAGCGCTTATGTGTTTTTTTTCCCCAGATTTGATTTTTTTTTTTTCCTCAGCGCAGGGAAAACATCAGACAGAGGGCAAGTCAGTTTCTCTCGGTCCCCTCCACAGCTAAGCAAATCCGAGACGCTCCTTATTTACGGAAGCACACAAAAACACGGCTTCCAAGAAGCAAACCCCCCGGGTCCCCCCCCCCCAGGAATTAACAAACCATCTTGGCAACTTTCCTTGCCAGCTATTCCTGGAAGATCGGAGGTTTGGCAACCCTCTTCCTTCGAGACGGGCTGTTTTTAGAGGAGGAAAATGAACAAAATAAATAATAGTAATAATAATTCTGTGGTTTAGACCAGTTCCCACAGAGGCAGCCCTGCCAAGGAAACCTTGCCATTGTTTCTACAC